AACTACTAACTTAAAACTAACTACGAACAACGACAACTAATAGTTTTTACGTTCCTTCGTGTGCTATACTTATTTAATTAAGTACTATACGTATATACTATATATATATATATATATATATATATATATATATATATACTCCTGGTGTATTTTGGGTCTCACTGTTTATATTTGGTGCTACTTTGTTATAAATGCAAAATAGATAACACCTGTGTAGACATTCTGAGACTGATTAATATTAACTTCTGATCAAAGAAAGTTACATACATAGTTCAGAACTAAAAATATATACCTAGTACTGATTATAGCTAATTAGATACAATGTTCAAATGATATAACTTATAATGATTAAAATGTGTTGTTTCATTAGTTGGGTATCTTTCGTGATTTGCAGGTATATTATGTTTTCTATCTTCTTTTAGTAATATAAAAGTTTTCAAATTTTAATATATCTAGTTTCAATGTGATTTTAGCATAAATGCATGATCCAGAAAACTGTTGAAATTGCCTGGTTCTTGTTGCTTTGTTTCTTTGTTCTCTATAGCAGATAGTATTTACCATACTTGAGGGGATGTTGTGATCTACTTTACTTAAATGTTAGAAGGGTCAGTGACTGCAGTATCTTTTGATGGCCAAGTGGATGAATATCTGAATGTTACAACTGATGAATGCTGTGAGAACGAGTTACAAGATATCACTGTTGACTGAACAAAGAAACCAAGTTTACTTGTTAGATTGAATCTTTATTGCATAATTCAGTTCTAGCTTGGGATCAGTGAGTTTAGCTCTGCATAGATTTATCTTGAGAGGGAGAAAGCTTTGGACTTAATCACAATCTTTTAGAATGTGTTTTTCTTTTGTTAGTCATAATAAAGATTGTGTTTATTCACAATTTGCCCAGTTTTATTATGTCATATGCTGAAAGGCTCAGTCAAGTTTACCAATTAGATCACTCCCAGATTTCCTGCTCAACCTGTTGTTGCTATTGGAAGTGTCTAATACTTGTGCAGAAATCAGTTTTACCTGAAAATACCACATATAAATAGGAAGGAGAAATTTTGATGCTGTGAACATAGGATTCATTGTGAAATTTTTGTTTTGGTAATGTGCATACTAGCCCTAACGTGATCTCTTATATTTAATAAGTTTAAAAGAATGATTTTGAATTGAGAATGGCTTATTTACAAAGTAGAAGTACTTACAACCAAGAGAGCTAGTTTGCTACAAGAAAGACGTGTGTAATCAATGAAAAGCCCTCTCCTGGACATTGACTTTTACCCATGTGATATGATAGTCCACGACATTGATCAACCTGCAAGTGCAAACACTGGGATTTATTCATATCTGGAGTACCTAAACCACTGGAGCAAATGATACCACAGAGAATTGTTTGCAGAAGAGAAGCATGAATGACTGAAAGTCATCAAAGTGGAATAATGCATGGAGAGTCCAAGACTACATTGGAAGGTGTCTACAGGATTTCTAAACTGTTACCAATCAAAGTACCATGGCCCTAGACCAGTGGAAAGAGACTGGATTTGCCACTGGAGAATTATCTTCACCAGTCAGAGTTATTTTCCTAGCCGGTGAAGCAATGGTACCCTATGGGTGAAGAACATAACCTTTGGAGGAAGTGCCTTTCAAAACTGAAAGGTTCCCTGTAACCTTGACAGCATCTTTATGATACTTGTGGTCGTGCAGGGCTGCATGATGAGCTGCTTTCGGTAACACATCATCCTGTCATCTTGAACCTGTTGGGGAGTTAGAGTCCATATTAACAGGTTCCATCTGTAATTGATGACATTGGTGGCACCTCCACCTGGCATTCATTAGTTAGAATCTCAAAGGAGAAGTTTTGACTAGCTGTCCCTGTGTACAAAGCCTACAGATTACACCTCCAATGTTCAAGGGGATGGTAAAAAAGGACCTAGAATGATTCATAAATCATTTCAGGCAGGTAACTGCGTGGAATAGATGGCTTTGAACAGCCTGTCCCTGAGCTTAGGTAGTCTGACCCTCGATGCTGTTGAACATCTGGAAGGAGAGCAGCAGTAAAACTGGAAGACAGTCATGTATGAACTACAGTGGCAAATTAGTGATTTATTGGGCCAAATTCAAGGCTCAGAAGAGGGTCAGCACCAAAGAACTGGCTGCCTATGCAAATGATCTATGCCAACTGCACAGAAAGACCTACCCAGAAATGGCATGTGCAGATTGCGCAGTTTCCATGGCAATACAATTTGAAATGTTCACTTAGGACTAGTTGTTAGAAAGTAAAAGCCCATAGCAATAGCTATTGTGGTTACCCCTCAAATGGACTGACTACTCATGCACCTCTGTCATGTCAGGCTAGACCTGAACCAAGAATTAATCAGCCACCCACAAATCCTGGCACTGTGATGCAGCCACACTGGTTTCCAGTGGAGCGTCAGGGCTATCCAGTTCCACCAATGAGGAACATTCCACCACAAAGTACACCCATGGGATACACACTATAGCAGATGCAGATGCTTCTGCTTGGACATCATCCAGGATGAAAGAGTGAAGTATTTGCTTCATTTGTAGACTAGTGGGGCACTGGCAAAAAAATTGCCCATATTTTGCTGAACAGCAAACACAGCAGAATTGTTGGTTTAACTAATGGCTCAGCAGATGGCAGCTTTCAAGCCCTCTAAGTTAGACCACTACTATAGTGAGTGAATACTTAGTTTATTCCAGTGAAAGGTGATAGACTAGATATTAGTTAAGGTGGATCTCCTGACCCGACCGTTTAGCCGGAGTGAATATAAGGGGCCCATTTGGGTTGAAAATTCTAATTTCAATTCTCTCAGTGGTAAGCTTGAGAGGTTATACTTCTAGAATTTGAGGTTCAGTATTAGTGGCAGTCATGGCCCATATAACCCGTTCTGCAGCTGTGCGCTAAAACAAAGAAACGGGTTAGTCTATAGCACATTTTTAATGTCTTATTTTTCCATGGTAAACTCAACTCAGTAAATTCTTGTCATAAGAATTCTTTTTCTGATTAAGTTTTCACTTGCATTTTACATGGAACAGTATGTTATGAATAATAATTTTCGAGGCACTAAGTATAAGATTATAAATTATTTGATTCAAATCTTAGAACCACGTATTTAACTTCGGATAACTCAGGTTTCTAACATGATATCTGAACTTATCTTGCGTTTTTCTATTTTCTTGTACTTTTATTTATTTATAATTCATTTTTTGTTATGAATATGTCGAGAAAACCTTAAAGTTGATCTTGTTTCAAGTTACCTTTGTTCTTTTTTTGTATTCTAAAGTGGTAACACCTGTTACCGACCCCCCCAGTGGAACAGTGGTATATCTGCGGACTTGTACCACTAGAAACTGGATTGCGATACCCACGGTGGGTAGCGTACAGTTAGCTCTTTGTGTAGCTTTGTGCATAATAACAAACAACAACCTTTTACCGTCTGAGGAGAAAATTGTTTAATATGACACGTTGTGTAAGGATATCAATATCAGTGGTTGTGCACGTGATATTTAGAGGTTACAGCCCCACCTGTGTTCTAATGAGAATGACTAGTCACTGAGTAAATGCGAAGTTTGTTGCAAACTAAGGAACGTTTCATTAAGACAGCCTAATATTTCGTCTTCATCTATACATCTGTTATATTGTTTCAACTTGAACAGTTAGAAGAGAAGATGCAGTGAAAATGACGTTTCAACGTGTTTTAAACACCGAAGGAGGTGTTTCTTTTGCATCCCATTATAACCATTGCTCATTTTGTATCCAGTCTCTTTATTTCATTTAACACCGATTCAGTCAGTAAACGTTTTTAGTATTACTCTGTTATCGATATTCTGATCGAATCTCCAATTAACAAACGGATGTATCTGGTGTAGCTCTAACGTTAATTCAATTTTACCTAGATATACCACACTATCTAATTACTAATTACAAAACAGTCATATGCTATCCACACATAAACTGAATTTTCATGACTAGATTAAATAATGAAGCAACTAAAATGTATATAATGAACAATATAAAAACACAAGGTTTCAGTTATATATGATTAAATAAATCACTATCCTATTATTTTCGGATTGTAATTTATCATAACTTTCACATTAATTAGATTGTTAAATTATTCTTGAACTGACTTGACCTCGTGAAGCCCAGAAAAAAACTGTAAACATATCTAGCATTCTTAAATATAAAGAAAGATATCTGTAGACGTGACAAGAAGTTCTGTTAATGCACAAGTTGTACAGTCGTCAGTCCTTAACAAAAGTACATGTATTTGTAATATAAAAGAAAAATACGCGCTCTTAATATTAGTTGTTTTGTTGAATTTCTCGCAAAGCTATTCGAGAGTTATCTGCGTAAGCCGTCATTAATTTTGAGGCCTGCCATGGTTAATAGTTAAAGTGCTCGTCTCGCAATCTGAGGGTCGCGGTTTGAACCCTCGTCACCGAACATGCTCGCCCTTCCAGCCGTGGGGATGTATAATGTGACGGTAAATCCCACTATTCGTTGATAAAAGAGTAGCCCAAGAGTCGACGGTGGGTGGTTTACAACTGAATGTTAGTACAAACGCTGCAACAATCTGTACTATACCTTACTAACCATAAGTCTTGATATTTTGTAATAATTAAAATCAGACTGACGTAAAATGTAATTAAGTCTAAAGAGTTGTTTATGTCATAAAATAATAAAGTGTAAATGACTCATACATAACATCAACCTTTATCATTGGTTTTATTACAGTCTTTCCGCAGTGGGACGGCGGTAAGTCTTCGGACTTACAACGCTAAAATCAGGGGTTCGATTCTCTCTGGACACACCAGATAACCCGATGTGGCTTTGCTATAAGAAAACACGCCTTATTACAGTCTCTAAATTCGGATTAGAGATCTGAAGCAGTCATTATATGGCGCAATAAATAAAACTGGCGAATCATCCATGTTGTTTGTATTATTTCTCACTGTTATGAAGCCAACTGGTTCATTTAATGAACGAAATGATGCGTTCATATTGACAAGATACTTCTCGATAAACTTGATATATCTCATTTTAAAAGCTTAGTCACGCTATCAACAAGCGAAATCGCTATGGAAGGAAACACGTGCTATATTACAGATTACTTTTATCACCTTAACTTACAAACATGTGTAGCTGCTACTCTGAATGCCTCTATTGGTTAACGGTTGTGATGCAGCAATAACCTTGTGAGAAGCACAAAACACATTAGAGGATTTTATAAGTTAATTTTCATTTATTAAAGCGATTGATATGTCTGTGTATTTCAAAATAGAAAATAAAGCATTAGATCAAAAGTCACAAAGTAATCTGACTACAATTCTTGAAGTGCTTTAAAACTTAAAGATAGAACACGATATTTAAGTAAAAGAGTAGAAGAATGTTTTGACTAAGAGTTTAATGGAATGTCCTATTGTTTTGACTAAGAGTTTAATGGAATGTTCTATTGTTTTGACTAAGAGTTTAATGGAATGTCCTATTGTTTTGACTAAGAGTTTAATGGAATGTCCTATTGTTTTGACTAAGAGTTTAATGGAATGTCCTATTGTTTTGACTAAGAGTTTAATGGAATGCCCTATTGTTTTGACTAAGAGTTTAATGGAATGCCCTATTGTTTTGACTAAGAGTTTAATGGAATGCCCTATTGTTTTGACTAAGAGTTTAATGGAATGTCCTATTGTTTTGACTAAGAGTTTAATGGAATGCCCTATTGTTTTGACTAAGAGTTTAATGGAATGTCCTATTGTTTTGACTAAGAGTTTAATGGAATGTTCTATTGTTTTGACCAAGAGTTTAATGGAATGTCCTATTGTTTTGACTAA